CACAAACAAACAAACACACACACACACACAATCACACACAAAAGCGAAGTCCATAACCCAAAAAGCCAGATCCAAAGATGTGGCCACTTCCCTCACTTCCCCATCTGTCGCTGTTGCCCGTCTCGGCAGGTGGTCCCGAGGAGCCGCTTCTAGCATCATCTCACTGAGAGTGGCGGATGGAGCGAGTGAGGTGAAACGCGCCACCAGCACCTGTCCTGCTGGGAATCCACCTGAACCCACCATGGATGCTACACGCACTGGGTCGAGGCACCATGTCAGAGTGCCACATCAGCCACCTTTGCCGGGGGGGGCAAGCATCTATGCAATTTTGTATATCGATGCGTGTTGAAATGGGCATGCAGGTGAACGTAGGTGAACCTTTATTGCACTAATGGTTTCAAACTTGCAACTTGCCTCCCAACCTGCAAATCCCCACGTGAGGATGCTGGGCACAGAGATAGTTCGTGCTAATGGAGTGCCTATTGCTGCAAGCACATCGCTAGTTGAGAATGGATTGCTTGCGCGCTTCCTGCATAAGGTTCCTTCAGGTTCCGAAACACACGGCAAAGTTGTCAGAAACTATCCAGATGTCCAACCACTGTTATTGTGATAGGAGTTCGGAGTTTCCCAGAGACTGCTTGTTTGCAAAGGGTTTTCGGTTCAAGTGTATGCCACAATCAATGGGTTGTCGGATGTGAGCCATCTACTTGTCACGTTCAACCTGTAATCCCTACAGTCGAGACAGCTCAAACGGGCATGTGGTCCATGTGCACCCCTGGACCCTGAGTGGCCGTTGAACGACCCCCAGACAGATGGAAAAGTAGGATCCCCACCTAAAATGGCCTGGACTCGGTTTCGGTCTCTTTGGGGACAAACGTGCTATTGTCTTCACAGCACGCGTGACCGCAGTCCTACGATGTGTTCTTCCATTCCACCGCGTTGTGTGGCGCGCCTCACCGCTCGGCTCAATCAGCGGCGCGTCGGGCGGCTCGAGGTCTCCGGAAGCGGTCGAAGGATGTGTTGCGACGTCAATCCCGAAGACTCCATGGGGACTGGAATATATATATATATATACCAGGAGCAACGAAACCCTAGAAAAGAAGACGACCTTTTTCCGAAAACCCGTGTTTTGGCATACAAGACGACGAAAACCCCGTTGTTCAGTGAAAAACTTGGTTTCTCATGTTCAGAACCCGTATGTATCCCGTGAAAAACCCGTAATTTGTCCGTAAAAACCAGTCCTTTGTGAATTGTTTTTGAGAAATGGCAAAAACTGAGTGTTCTTTTCAGGATCCTACATTTTTCTAGGTTTTCGATGGTCTTGGTATATATGCCGCCCCAGAAAGACCCCCCCTAGCACCCACCAGCCCTGGACGTTTCTCGGCAGTCCGGCAGTCCCCATGGGTCGTAGACCTCAGCGACTCACACCTTTGAATGCTGTGTGAGGGCCAGAGGCGGCCAGAGGCGGCCAGACCTGTCGTGCGAGAGTACTGGCGGGGTCACCATGAAACACTCGGCCTGCATGCTGCGGTACTTGGGAATGCTCAGTCACTCAGTGTGTTTCGGCTTTGGGCCATTGGGCGCACCAGGGATGGTTCACGGTGGGGAGTTTCTGGGCATCTACGCAGGTTTGGGCATCACGCCATCTCACACGTGCATCACAGCTCAGCGATCCCTTTTTCCCGACGGCCCCTCGCGTTCTAAGAAGCCTGTCACCGGAGCTCAGTCGAGGTGATCCCAGGGGCCCCACATGGCCCATCAAACACCTGGTTTTCCCCTAGCGAAACACGTGGTTTTTGTAAAGACAAGACGCATGTGATTCAAGCTTTGGGCTCACAACACAACATGAAGAGTGAGATGGGCTCACAAATAGTAATAGACGACGGGCCTTACATGACTTAGACATTGGCTGTTTTCTTTTGAGAAGGTGTGATTTCCTCACCTGAATGCTTTTGTTTGGGCGGCCTATTGGTGAAAGGGGGTGCCCAGCTTCCAAACAGATTTGTTACATGTAGATGTAGATAGACAAGCACCTGAACATCATGTCTCTCGAGTTGTGGGCATTTGTGCTTTGGTTTTGGTGATTGCTAGCGCTATTGATGTATGATTAGGGTCTGTCCGAACTTACCTGTAACAGTCAGTAAACAAGCACACTATCATTTTTGACCAAGGCCTGCAACCAGGCCCCATCATTATCCACTGTTACAGGTAATAGGATAGACCCAATGTATGATGATGTACCCCAAATGCTTTGGTTTGAAGCGAAGAGGTGCACCCAAAGGACAGGCAGCTCCGGGAAGTTCCTTTCATTCTGGATGAATTTATGACCTGCGCCCATCCATGAACTAATGCTGACTTATGCGGACGGGGGTTGTAGTAGACACTTTTGACTTTGGCAAGCTCTCTGTGAGTTTCCTCGCGAGCTACGTGAAACTCATGCAACAAAACAAATTCAGCTTCTCCATGAAGTCGATCTCTACCGTCCAGCAGCATGGCCCATGAAGTCCAGACAAGTGCAAATTACAATATAGATCTAGTTCTAGATTCATTGGTCTATGACCAGGAGAACGTTCATGGTCATGGCCTTGTAAGTTTCAGAAAGTATTCTGTTTTGGGTGGAGGGTTGCCATGCAGTGAACATCAATTAACTCACTACCCAGAATTCACAGACCGCCTTGGTCCCTCAAAACCTAGGGATTTGAGATCCAGACGCACTCAATCTGCTCGATGTTCCTCGCAAGACAGCCTCACTGGCGTCACTGTTCCGTCCGTTTCCGAACGCCTGGGGCCCGTAGAGGGTGAGTTTGAGTGGCGCGATGAGGGTGGGAGTATATAGTAGTGGTGAATTGGTTCTTCTGCAGGAGTATACAGTGGTTTGTTGCCTCAAGTATGACGCGAGCACTTCTTTTTTGTTCATGACGGTCAGCTAAAGCATGCTAAAGCACGGTCAGCCTGAGAGAAATCCGTGTCCGAAGGCTTTGGATCACTTAGTCACTTGAACGCCGCAATCACTTCACCCGCCGCAATCACTTCACCACTTCCGTTCGGACGTCACTTCGCCGGGGTTCCGTCTCACTAGTTGAGACAGGGGGGGTTGGATCAACATGCCTATGAGCAAAAACATTCCTCTATGACTGATTTGGGGGTCATACCTTATAATATGATCACTTTAATATTATATGAATATTGTATCTATTTGTATGTCATGATATCTCCAAGTTCTTGTTTTTCAGGTGGTCGATCTGAGGACGAACTGAACAAACTGAAAGATCTCAACACGAAAGGAGAACGAATCTCGCACGAACGTCGGTCTTTGGTGATCGACAGGTTTCGCACGGCTGGAAACACCCGGGCCACGGTCGCGTGAGATCCACATCGGTCGTTACTGTTCGGTCTGTTGTGGTCAACAGTGGCACGCAGCGATTGCGCCATCCACGGGCCCTGCAACCAACCACCCGTGTTCCGGCAGCCCGTGGAAAAACACGGGCCCGAACGCGTGTTCATTTTGGGCTTTGAGCCCTGAGAAATTGGATAGAGGATTTCCAGGGCATCCGTCATGGGCCCATGCCAGAGCGTTCTGCTAGCACACGCTTGAACGTATTGAGCCCCCTAAAACGTGGCAACGAAAATAGAGCCTCTACGCGGAGCCCCTCCGCAACGCCTCTTGGATGGACCCTTCACGAGATGGGCGAGCTCACCCCCAAAAGAAAACACGCATATCCCAGGCACTCCATCTTAGAAGAGCCTTTGATGCCTGTTCAAAGGGTACTTGTTCAATCTTAATGAGGTTTTCATTCCCTTTCACTTTTCCTTTAAGCCATAGCATCAATTCCCAGACGCTCCATGGGACTGTCATAGGACTGCCGAGAAACGGCCAGGGGTGGTTGAGAAGCAATGGGGCCGCATACATATTCCAGTCCCGTGTGACGTGTCTGGGTATTGCAGTACATCATAGACAAACTCTGGCATGTGGCCTTTGTTTCCGCTACCGGCGTGAGAACAAAAAGCTGTGCCAACAATCCAGGTACTGGCAGTGTGGACATGTTTATTCCATTTTTGTCCTATGTCCGAGAAACTCAGGCAACATATTCCAGGGACTGGACCACACAAGCAACAGGCCATTTGCAATTGCACAGCCTTGCTTGAGAACAATGGCAAAGTTCGTAGTGCTGACATAGATTGCAGCACTTATAAACTAAAGTTTAAAAACAATGAAAGTAAGCAACCAAAGCCAGCGCAAAATGGACTTGAATAGAGTTGTGGCTTTTGGGTGCAGCCATGTTTGCGGGGGCTTGCACGTTTGTCGGAGAGTAGCATATGCGCAGAGTCCAGGAACATAGGCGAAGGTTATACCCTTTCCATCCCCAAGCTAGCTCACCACTTACTGCTGGTTGTTTTTTGTGTTTGCCGCGGAGCCACCACATTGTCTCCTTTCTTTCCATTTTAGCAGATGGCAGACAAGATCAACAAAAAACAAGGTACGCATGGCTGATCCCAACTCTAGAAAAAAGAACAATCAACACCTTCAAAAACGGATCCATTTTGATCCGGCTTGTCACCCATATTTTTGGGAGTAACTCCCATGATGTTTAAGGGAGTACTGTAACTGTCATAGATTTTTGGGAGTACGTCCTTGAACAACGAAAAGCTGTTGACACCCACAATGCAGTCTCTTGCTTCATAAACCCTCCCATTTGAATTGAAAAAACCTCTTCATATGGGTTGTCAGAGACCAAGAGTCTCCCAAAGATGTGTTCTTTTTTTTTCGTGTGTCTCCCAAAGATGTTTTTGTTCATTTCCTTTTGATTGACAGTACCGTTTTGACTACTTTTTTTAGTAATCAAGAGCCCTTCCAACAGGTTTTTGGACACCGCTTATAAATCACCTCTAAGATACTATTTTTAGACACCTCAGAAGGAAGGTCCTGACAAAATTTTTTGTTTTTACACTCCTTTTTTTGGATCCCCAGGTGGTAGCCATTCCGACCTCGCCCCACCCAGGTCGTCGCTTGTGACATCGCCCGCTGTGCCACGCGCTTGTGACATCGCGAGCGTGCGGGCGCGAACACGGGAGGACCAGGTTCCGTCGGTTGCGCATGGGATTTTGTGTTTCCCAGACACTCCATGTATGCCATAAATGCCTACCTTGACCCCCAAAACCTTTTGTGTTTTGCCAGGACGAAACGGAATGAACACAAACGAAAGAAACACCTCTGAAACAACCCAGGAGTTGGGGAGGAAGGGGTGGACATATTTGTCGATGCAGAAATCCATCAGGGGAACACCCTACCCTACCCTACGGCTCAGCTACCACGCAGAAGCAACATTCCAGACATATCAGATATCCACAAAACGCGCTGGGGCGCTGCGGCCCGGCTGATTTCCTGAACAGTCAGATTTCCCTTGTACCATCATCCTTGGCATGCGCTGAAGTAGCAACACGGGCACCCCACTTTGGAGTTCTAAAAGGCCTTCAGCTGCCGTGCGCATTGCCAGCCGCATAGGTTCGGCTAGTCAGTCGTGCTAACGTCAGTAACTAAGTCACGGTTCTGAGAGCCGTGGTTTCGACCGCTCGCCGTAGCAACATGTCGACCTTCACGGACCGGAACCTCGGTGGAAACCCGATGTTCACGATGTTCACCCCGCGGACTCCTCGGCTGTCAGCCGTCCCCAAAAGCGTCCTCGTGGTCCGCCGCCCATGCCAAACGAACGACCCTCTTCGGAGCGAACCGACGAACGCCCAAGGCTTGCGGAGTTTGGCTGGAAGGCGCGGAGGGAGTCGACGAGCGCCGGACTCGATCGGACCGATGACCGAGAGCGAGAAGTCCGAAACTGCAAGACGACGACCGGGTCGCAGAGAGAAGCACAAGAAGAAGGAGAGGTTGCAAGGCGAAAAGCAACACATGACAAGTTGCAAAGTTTTACAGTCGAAAAGACAGTCTGGATTGTGGGAGATCCTGCCTGGAGCATCTCGCAGAAGCTGAGCTCACATGGGACTTCCTACCCCGGGAAGTAAGTGGATCCGCATGCTACCTTTTTTGGGTGATAATGGGTTTTCCCACTAAATATGAACTACCAGCACCACCCATTTCGGATGGTTTTTGGATGGAAAATACCTCTTCAGGGGGTTTTTCAACCACCCATTGAGTGGTGCTGGTAGATGGAAACAGGTACTGCAACTGTTTTTGTTCAAGAGATTTCGGGCTCGGGAGTCAGAACTTTTCTCATCCATGAGCCACGAGACCAGTTCCGACCGGACACCGACGTCTACTCGTCAGTTCTACTCCAGGCGGAGCGAATCCATTGATTTGGCGCACCACTTTGGCCTCGCATCGTGGTGCTGGTGTGGTTGTTGCTTGGATGAGGTTTGGGTGGTGTGTGTGTGTGTGTGTGTCACCCTTGGAGTCATAGGGATGCTTTTGCATTTGTTT